TTTCACCGGCCGGACCCGGATTCTCGAAAAGCTAGGCCACAGCCTGGCGTCCCAGTCCCCTTCTTCGTCGGTGAGCGAAGAGCAAAAGATTTTTGTCATAGTTGGTTATGGCGGGATTGGAAAGAGTGAGGTGTGCTTGAAGTTCGCAAATGACCATCGTCAACAGTGAGACACCACTACATTGAGCACACGCAGTTCTCTTCGTCATCTAACACTGCTCAAACAGTTTCTGGGGCGTTTTCTGGATCGACGCTAGCAGTGAAGAAACAGCAAAGCAGTCCTTCATCGATATCGGGAAACTGTGTGGTGGAAAAGCGGAGACTTTTGAGCAAGTGAAAACATGGCTTGCCAACATCTGTTATTCTTGGATCCTTATCATCGACAACGCCGACAATCCTGATATCGACTATGCTATATTTTTCCCTTCCGGAGAGAAGGGTAACATTCTTCTGACCACTCGGAATCAGCAATGTTGCGCCCATGCAACCGTCGGTCGCGAGGATCTAGATCATCTGGACCTTCAAGATGCTACGTCGCTTCTCTTTAAAGCCGCTGGGATAGCCGAATCATCGCGTGGAGACAATCACAAGGCGGCAGAGAAAGTAGTTCAAGATCTGAGTTACCATACTCTCGCTATCGTTCAAGCAGGAGCATTCATCAAGCTTCGGTTTTGTTCACTTGAAGAGTATCCCATACTCTTCAAAGAAGAGGCAGAGAAACTCCTGAATTATCGTCCGATACAAGCACAATCGACCTATGGAAGTGTATTCGCGACGTTTGAAATCTCGGCTACCCATCTGGGATCCTCTCAAGACCAGAATGCTGCGAATGCGCTCAGCTTGCTGCCACTCTTAGGTTTCTTTCACTTTCAGGAAATACCTGTGTTGATGTTTTCAAGAGCGCGGGACGAGGCTATTGCTATACGTGAAAAGAGAGGCAGAGGAATGCCACAGGATGAGATTTACCGACTATCTGAGTTACAGATCTCTCGCCTACCTGAATTCATCATGCCGAGGAACCACATTGCCACAGGTTCTTCCCCATGGCAGTGGCGCGAAATCCTGAATCTCCTAGAATCCTACTCGATCATTAAATTTAGTGGGACTGGTGAAGATCTTTCCTTCTCGATGCATCCACTTGCTCACACGTGGGCTCGCAGTCGCCCCGGACTAACACCCAGAGAGCAGAGTTGGGCAGCAGCTGGCTCGGTCATCGCTTTGTCGATGCGTGGAACGAACTACAATATGTTCCATGAAAAGCTTCGATCGCACGTTGAAGCTTACCTAGGTTACCCGATTCTTGAGTACCGAGCGGAAATGACAGAACTGGAGATTTGTCAAACTCATTTCCGAATCTGCTGGCTCGTTCTACATCTGCTTCATACTTCAAGACTTCGAGATCTTCTTAAAATACTCGAGACATTTGAGGCCTGGACGGGCGCTAGTGGAGAGTCCAGCTTACAGATAAAACTCCTTACTGCCAACTGCTTTCTTCAAGAGGGACAGCACCAAACAGCGGTAGGGCTACTGGAGCGGCTAGTCGAGACTAATCATGCTGATGATCTCGGTCTGCAAGCTACACTTGCAAACGCCTATCTCCAGTGCAAGCAGCACCAAAAGGCAGTACCTCTACTCGAGCGCCTAGCCAAGATACAAGAGAGAACAGAAACGCCGGATGATGAGTATCTTTTGCGGTTACGACACCTGCTTGGATGCACATATATTGGAAACAAGCAATTTGAAAGAGCAGCACCGCTTCTTGAGCAAGTAGTCGAGATACAAAAGGGATCGATGGTGTCTACACATCGTAGTCGTCTAGCATCTGAAATTATGCTTGGAAGAGCCTACATAGGCAAAAGGCAGTATGAGAAAGCGGCAAAAATCCTTCAACAAGTACTTGACATACGATGTCAAATACTAGATGTCAAGGATCCCGGTCTCCTCGCTACGCAGAATTGGCTTGCAAAAGCTTATATTGGCATGGGAAACGGTCATTATGGAAGAGCAGCGGAGCTCCTTGAGCCGGTGGTCAGGAAAGATGAGAGTTTTCTGGCACCTGAAAACCCTGATCGTTTGGCATCGCAGCACGAGCTTGCAAAAGCTTATATTGGCATGGGAAACGGTCATTATGGAAGAGCAGCGGAGCTCCTTGAGCAGGTGGTCAGAGCACCGGACGACCCTTATCGTATGATGTCGCAGCAATTGCTCGAAGAAGTCCGTGGGCGTATTGAGGCTGAGAACGATGCCGAATCCACATCTGTCTCTGGAGAGACGACTTGACCTTCTATCTAGAGCGAAAGAGCAGCTGCAGGATTTCGCAAAGACATTTCATGGCATTAAGAGTTCATTTTGCCAAAGCGTTAGAACGTGGTTTGGTAGGAGAGAGAGAATCTCATGAGTCATGAACGAAATCAAAATATGGGAGCGATGAACTCAGAATCCAACCTGGAAGAGGGTTCCCAGTCCATGTTCCAAACTTGTTACGATGTGCGGCAAATGTTTCAGTTGTCCCCCAAAGTAATTGGCCTAAGTATGTTATACTAGGCCTCTTCGAATAGTACAATTAAACGGCCCCTTCTGACCACTTACGCTCGCTCGTCCCAATCTTCTCGAGTAATCTCCCGATAGGCCTAAAGGTGTACCTTTTAGCGCCAAGACCTTGTCATGCTCCGACAACGACAAGATTTCCATATCAGCTTTGAACGTGGCAGTGTAGACATGCATCTCACTCCAGCGCTATGGCTAACATTTGGGATATCGCCTGCTCCAAGCTGCCCGAGGAGCAGCAAGGTTTACTCACGTCAGGACTGCCTCTTCTGGCCCGGTTCGACGAGTTGAGCTTTACAGTCGAACAGACCCGGGGAGATGCGGAATCGCAGCGCAAGCATTTCGATAAGATGGTTTCGTGGATTTAGAGATTTATAATCCTTGCGATCGTAGGTCTTCCCCAGTTCAAGAAACCCTAGACAATGGTGATGAATAAGTCAGATTTTCTTTACTTCTACAGCTTTCTTGATCCGGAGGAGCTGGAGCGCGGGAAGGTCGCAGAAATTGCCCGCTCGATTGTGAAGCAGCTGTTGGTCCAGTCCTAAAAACTTCCAGCTTACGTAAATGGATATTAAGAGTTTAGCCTGGTTATCTTTGATGATACAACCTGCCCCTTTCGCTTCGCCCACACCTCAGTCTAGGATAGACTCTTGTATCAGCGGAGTGAGTACAAGATGCCAGACGAGAACTATGCACGTTTGCTCAGCGGTTCACTTTGATACTATTGCAGGCGTCCACCGTGTCATTGATTCGTCGAAATTTCCAGGACACAGCAACAGAAATTGAAACGACAGCCCCGGCCCGATCCCAAGAAATGCATAGAGATAGCGTGTCCCAAGATGGTCCATTGCTCTTCGAGCGGGCCTTAATTGATGCAAGAGGCCAACCAGTGAAAACAATCGTGTGGGTGGAAGACCACTGGCGTAATATACTACCAAACGTGAGGAACGACGCAAACTATCGTCACTGGTCCTTTTGGAGACCGAATTTCGAGACATGGTAAAAGTCATGATATAACCTACGATGGCTACAAATATTGCTGTCTTGCTTGAGTACATGAGAGGCCAAGAAGTGCTCTGTTCCCGAAGAACGATGTTGGAAGCTAAAGAAGTAAACAACAACACACTTCTCCGAACTCCTTCACTTTGCAAGCAAAAATTCCAAGCGCGCGTCAAATACGGTGATCCAATAGCCCTTTAAGGATGTGTTCCAACCACATTTGGGGCGTTAAACACTCAATTCTCGCTCATTTGTCTTCACGAACATCTACCCACATTCACCCCATACACCACCACCACGCCTTTCCAGCCAGTCTCCAGTCATGGCTACCATCCCTCCCTATAAGCCGAGCACAAAACACTCAGCCAAGACTACCATTCCTCCTGATGATCCCGAAGCAGAATATGAAACCGCCGTCGCCGCATACAAAGCGCAAGTGAGCGTTATGGGCCCAACGCGCAAACAGTACGAGGCGCTTTTCTTTCAACACAAACAAGCTCAAACACGCTATGACAAGATCATGGACAAAACGACATCGCAAAACACCACATACCAGCGCCATAAGCGATACGTAATCTCACTGACAAACGCCTTGCTCGCTTCAAACCTCACACTACGCTCCGCTTCAGGACCGGTCAGCGACTTGCAAGCTCTAACGCACGCAACTCTCCTTTATGATATTCGACTCTCTGCTCGCACGCTCGTCGACATGATGGTTCAGAACAAGCGCCTGGACAAGGCAAGAGAAAGGTTTTGGAAACTCGATCAGGAACTGCATGTGAAGTGTGAGGAGTTGTTTGAAGTGGTGGACAAGAATTGTAAAGAGTTGGATCGACTGCATGCGAAGGTGCTTGAGGCAGAGAAGAAGATGGGTGAGGAGTCCAGATGTGGGATGGCAGAGGGGAAATGTCTTTCTTGTGTCAGGAATAGTGAGAAGGAGGCGAGGAGGCTGGGGGCGGAGAATGTGGCGAAGGCGAAGGGAGGGTCTAGGAAAATAGGGAAAGGGCTGGGGGCGAAGAAGAAGTTGGAGGATATTCTTGAGGAGGTGGATTAGGAGAACGGGCTGAATGGAGTGCATAGACCGTTGAACGTGTGTATTCCCGGTGCGGAAGAGATATGCACATCACACTTGTCGTTGCCGCTTGTCAATAAGGATTCTAAGTTTGCAAAGAAGAGAAGCACCCGCAACACATCTGTCAATCTCATTAGCAGGAATGGTTATGTACTACCATAGTGACAGGAAGCACGGGTACCAAGTCTATCAGTGCCATCAGGCAGAACAAATATTGACGGTCACAGTGAAGCCGAGAACTGATGATCCCATAAGGAAGACCTGACGTGCAAAGTGACGATGTAGAGGAGCACCGGCAACAAGGCTATTAAAGCCATCAGTACACTATGCAAACAGCCCTAGAAGCGCACGACGCAATGGGTATTTGGCATGCCACGAAACGATCAAAAGAATCTCCACCATATGAGTACAATCATCATCACTCCCACCCCCACAAACGGTCCATACTGTTTAAGCAGTAACTCCCAGTTAATCCTGACTGCCGCCCTCCTATACTTCTTACTATCTTCCTTCAACCTCCCTGACATCTCACCCATCCGCTCCAAACTGTCCCCTCTATACAGCAAATCCTCAATGTTCTTTGTCATGACCTTCGTCACATCTCTCAGCTCATCATTCAGTTTATCCAGGTTCTGACTCGCGCGGCTGTCCTGGTAGGTCTTCTTTGTGCGCTGCATAAAAGTGTCAAATTCGACAAAAGCGTAAGGGCGGCAGGTGGGGGAGAGGTATTGGGAGGAGGAGTACGTGGTTGTGAATTCGGTGGCTAGGTCGGAGAGGTAGGTGAAGGCTAATTTGCGGGGGTAGGAATGGTCGCAGATGGTGAGGAAGCAGAGTTGGTCTTGTATCAAATAGCTGCAGTGCACCCAAAGAGTTCAGTATTAGTTTCTCGGCAAAGGGGAGAGGGAGCAGGCGACGTACTGCAGAGTGTATTTGCCAGCTTCTATGCTGGCCTGAGGCTCAGAATTGCGGTTCAGCCGCCGTATGATCATCTTCGCATTTGCTTTGGGATCTGCAAGCTCGGTCTCCGCTTGCTCGTCGTCAACGGTGGCTGCGAGCAGGAGGCCATCGATCCTGGCTATCTGTGTTGATTTGACCATCTTGCTTTGTTGCCCGTCCTCCCTTATAGAACCACCGCTACTACTAGCTATTCTAGTTATGTAGCTATCCCAGGCATTGGTAGTAGAAACGACTGCTCCGGGAAGAACCAATTCTCACTTCAATAGACTAGAAGAACAGCTGTAATCAAGGTCGGTTCATCAATTGCTGCATGCAGTGACCTTTCTGACATTAGGGTCGGGGAAGCTTCCGCTCGGGGTGCGGCTGCCGGAGGGCGCTTGAAGAATAGCCGCGACAGGAACAGCATGTTTATTGTTCGCAAACAATTCTGAGCTTCAAACTGAACACTTCATTTACTTGTGCCCAAGATGTGAGAGGCTTTGGTTGAGCACTTGTTAAAGTCAGTCTACCTCATGCGTAATGCCTATTCCACACCCTCTGTACACATCAAGATGACTCCTCAGAAACGCAAGGCGGACGCCGCATCACCAGCAGAGGCTTCTGACGAATCACCTCACAAGCGGGCCAAGTCTGAGAGTATTGATGACATAGTTAACAAGCCGGATAGTAATACTCGCTCTTCTGACGAGTCTTCAGAACACCATGTCGAGCATTCAATCTCTGTGGCCAGCCCTTCGAGTAATTCACGCACAGTTCCTGGTGGAGAGGACGAGACTGCCCTTCTTACAGATCTACCACAGACATGGGATCAAGCAAGTGACGCGGATAAATTGTTGGTGAAGATGAAGGAGGAGAACACAAAGAGCACCTGGGCTAAGATTGAGCAACGTTGGGAACGAGCGACGGGGGAAAAGCCTGCTGGAGGCGTATTGCCCGATAGATATTGGCGCCTCAAAAAAATAATGGCATCTTCAAAAGCCGGCGGCGCAGTTGGAGGAAACGTGGAGTCCAAAGTTGTTGAGGAACTCTTGGAGACTTCAGAAGACATATCCACGCTTCCAACAAATGGAGTCAGACGTCCGAGCCCTGCAATCGGCGGACCCTCAGAAAAGTCTCCACGTACTATCTCCAAACTCTCAGAACCTGCGATTAAACCTTTGACAACTGAAAGTGCAGCTTCTGCCAATGAGATTGCCCCCGAAAAAGACTTTCCGCAGTCATGGGAACATGCAAATGCCGGGGACCAGCTGATAGTGAGAATGAAGACAAGTCGAAAGGCCTGGCCCAGGATCGAGGAAGCGTGGCAAGACTTGACGGGCGAAACGCCTGCGGAGGGTGCATTGCGAGATCGATACATGGGCATGAGAGAACTAGTCATTTGCCCAGGAATCAAAGGCCCATACACGAAAAGCACTTTTGACAGAGGCACTGACCAAGCTGTTTCTCGCCGCGCAAAGGATACGCTCAGAACGCCGAGGAAGCAGAAGGTGGAAGCTGAACCCTCTGAGGAATCTTCAAATGAATCTTCTTCTGTAATTTCGAAGCATTCCAAGAATATTGCACGTCGAAAGCCCCGTGGTGCAGTTGAAAAGCAGATGAGAGCCAATGCTTTTGATGGACCGTCAGATGAACGTTTTTCTAGACGTACGAAAACTACGGCCGAAGAACCTAGCGATGGGAAGCCGGAGACAGGATTTTCGGATGAATCAGATGAGTCAGATGAGACCTCGAAGCAGTCATTGACGGTGGTCAAGTCTGCGAAACGTCCACGCTCAAAACATGCGAACTCCGGAGCTCAGAATACAGCGGGGACTGCTGACGAGATGGTGGTGGAAATGAAAGAAAGAGGATGCAATTGGGTCGAGATCAGCAAAGCATGGACAGAGCGAACAGGCTTGACGCACGCTCCAGATACATTGCGAAAACGCTACGCTCGCATGAAGAACGGTTCTGCTGCAAAGCTGGTATCTAAAAACCAGGCTTCGAGCAAACGGAAGGTGAAAGCCACATCTCCAGACGAAGGTTCATTCGAGGCGTCAGCGAAACGTAACAAATCGACGACCGAAACTCCTATCAAACGCAATATGGACCGTGGAAAGCGCAAGAGTTCAGTCAAGTACACGGATTCAACGACTGATGAGGATGAGCTCTTCGCTGCACCTGTCGAGCCTGTTGCCGTCGCCACCACCCCCGCCAAGCGTAATGCTGGTCGTGCTGCGAAGGTAAACAGAAGCGATCCAGAATGGCTAGTGACCAACGAGAAGTCACCTCTTGCCGACGAAGACCTTCATGCAGAATTCTCCAACCCCAAGACATACGAGAACTTCACCAAATCAGACTGGGAGGACCTTCGCGAAACCCTTCCTCCTAATGTCCCCATCAATTCTGATGGGTACTCCATTCCTATGGCATTCTTCAAGTACGACCCTGACTTCCGCCGCGGCATTCGTGAATTCCAGGAGGACCTCTCTTCCGGGCGTTTGGATCCCAAATGGCAAGCTGATGCAGCTCAGGCAATGGAGGAACGGGCTCAAGGGCAATTTGATGCGTACAAGGAAAGTCAGTTTGAGGCGTTCTGGGGACAGAAGCAGAAGCTGAACCATGATGCTCTTGCTGGGGAAAGCACTAAGATCAAGTTGGACTTGCTGATACAAAATGAGATATTCAAGGTCGGAGATTACTTTAGCTACTCGAGGGTTTTTGGTCGTGGGAAGAATGGGGTGCTCGTAGAGAAGGATTGCAAGGTGAGCGAACTCCTTGAGATTGTGCTAGTATGCCATAGGTCATCGCTAAAAATCCCTAGATTGTCAAGGTCGATGACAAAACACTAACATTCGCCATTCCTCCTGGGCAACGAAAATACTCTCGCCGTATGTTTGAATCAGGACCTTCAGGAGATACTAAACCCGAAGCAAAAGCAACAACGGCCGGTGACGATGAACAGTCCCCAGTCGATGTGAAGAACAGTCTCAACGATGCTGAAGCCGGTGTGGATAACGACATCAACGCTAGTAAAGGGCTACAAGGTAGCGAAAACGGTAACGGAGTCCTGACAACCAGTGAGATGGCCGAGAATGGCAACTTGCCGGACATGGAGCCAAAAGAGGATGAAGCCTTGCCAGATAGTAAGGCGGATGAGCATGGTACTGGAAGACCTACGCGGTCAGAAGGCACCGCAATCTCAGCAAACACCAAACCGCAAGAAGACGAGATTCACGAAGCCACGGCATCAGAAGGGGATAAAGAAGACGGAGCAACTGTCCAAACCAACGGCGACGATCAATTGTCTGCAGTTGCCTCCCAAGACGAGGACGTGCTACACAGCATCTCATACCTCACCCAGCTCGAGAATAAGATTGTTGACATCGATGGCCATTTCAATTCCAAGGATATTGCAACGCAGAATTCATGGAAAAATTTCCGTGGCATACGCAATCACCAGGATCTCGGGACGCTCTTCGAGATGCGCGAGGACTTCTATGTCTATAAGCACCCGCAGATCGTGAAGGAGGCGAAGAGAAAGAGGTAGTTGCGGCTGTGATTCGAAGGGGATGGGAAGGTTGGGTGCGGGTTTCCGCGACATTCCTAGGCGTTCATAAGATACCCCAGCATACCAAGCGAGCATGATACTTTTCGATGGATTCCTAGGAGAAAGCATGAGGAGAAAAGTTCTACAGAAAAACCAGTAGCCAGAAAGATAAACCGTCACGACCTCAACAGTCCCCCAATCTAGAAACCCCATAGCTCTACTCTTCTTCCTTCACCTGTCAACTCACACTCCCATTCCCCGCGCCCACCATCCCCAGCACCAACCCGTCCGGCCTATCAGGCGTGATCTTCCCAACGCCCACGGTGCCAAACTGATCATCCCGGACCTCAAACGCCGCCATCTGGAACCGGCCCGCTCGGTACAGATACAGCCACAGCCCCTGCAGCACGTTCATCACGATCCCGTACGTCAGGTGATGGTATCCGATCGGGAAGGTGGCGACGCCGAAGAAGCAGCCGGAGTAGCGGATGTCGGATTCGTAGGGGTCGTCGAGACGGGCCTGCTCGTGTCAGCTGGTGTTGCTTTGGGCTTGTGTGATGTGTGTATGGGCCGGCGGGGGAAGGGATGGGTACGACATGATGTACGTACGAGGGGTGTATCGTCCGCATCGTAGGCCTTGATGAACGCGGCCAAGGATTGCTGGGTGCGGAGGATGGTGCGACCGATATTGGGCTTCTGGATGGGGTTATCCTGGAGGCCGATACGGAGGAGGGTGCTGGTGTCTGGGACGCGGTATAAGACTATGCCTGCCGGATTCGAGGTGTTCAAGAAGAGGGCGAGCGCGTTGATGGATCTGTAGAGGAGATGCAGGGTCGTTAGTGAGAGTGGATTGGGGAAGAGTTGGGAAAACGGGGCTCACTCTTCGCTAGAGAGGGAGGGAATTGTGCGGAGATTCGGTGCAATAATGGTGTTCAAGGAAAGAGAAGCTGGATCGACAGCGGCAGGAGCCGCTTGGGCGCCGTAGAAGCTTTGGAGAAGGAGGAGCAAAAGGCACATGACCGGTAGCATGTTGATCAACGTTCATGCTTGAGAGGGATGTTCTCGGGGGTAACAGCATTCGAGAAGACCCTTAAGAATGTTGCGCATTGACTTTGAAGCGATAAACCCTTTCAAGGTCTCACGGTGCGAGTAAGTGTGGGGAGATAGAAAGCGACACGCGACAAGCGGAGAAGTGCACAAAAGAAGCCAACCATAACGACGCTACTGAAACCGAGAGTATAACTGTACATAGGCGTGAGCTTCGACCTAAAGATCGCATGAGAGAACGTATGGCTAGTATTCCCAACCCCACCCCAAATTCTTCGACACCACTGGTGCACCCACTAGCCCACCTCAGCATCTTCAAACCCCCATATCCATGTATTTTTTGGGAATTACTTGCTTCTCAAACGAAAAGGTCCAGCAACCCTACGTCGGGACTTTGGAATCAAGCTAATACACACGGAAAGCATCATCTTCCTGGCGCCATGCCAGATCGATGCAGCAACTCCCGGGCGGCATTCCTCCTAGCTCAAGTCTCCTTCATCCAGCGTTCTTGAAAAGATGCCAAACCCTCATCGTCTTCGATTTGGATGTCCGTACCGTCGCGGCAAGAGGCTCACTCATGATCTCTCCAGGCCCGATCAATTCCGATGTTCTCTGGCTGCGGTAGCATCCCTCCCTCATTCGAATCAATATATGGAGTCACAGATGCGTCCACGACAAAAGGGTCTGTGAAATTTCGCGATGCTTGTTGTTTTGGCAAAAAGAGCTGCCCTAGGTCATCTGGTGCACTGCTCGTGGACCTTGGAGCTATGCCAAAGACAGCAAAGCCAACGACTCGAGATGCTGACCAACATGGCCCTGTAAAGTGTCCTGGGACTTAACGCCGTCTGGGCAAAGGTTGCAAAATGGGCAAATATGGAAAATCGTATCCTCGCGTCGTCCGTTCACCTCCGCTTGCCAGGGGAGTTGCGAGCGCTCCATGCACCGCGGTGATCACGTCTCAAGTGCTCGATGTACGATTCAGCATCCACGAATGTCATTCTCTTGTGATCTGGACCCCAGCAGTCCCATTTCAAGGGCATGTGTGCCGATCGAATGTGCGCGATCCAACCGTCGAACGACCGGAAGATTCTTTGTGGCAAACAGCATTCTAGAAACACACAGATATAGGTCTCGAGGTCCTGCATGACATGGTGCCTTGATGGTTTAAACACTTGCAGCTCCACAATATAGAGGAGGCAAGAAATGGTCACCTCCAGTGTTTCCCAATCGACTTTTTAACTGGACACAGTATGTAGCAATAGGGACATTCAAACATGCCGTTGCTATCCACCTTGGGTACTGGGAGAAAGTCGAATCCTGCAATCTGAGGCGAGGAATCTGAAGTACTTGTAAAGACCTGAGAAGGGAAAGGTGATTCTTGGGGACGTAGTGGCTCAGGCACAATCTCTGAAGCAGAAATTCGGACAACCGATTACGAAGACTTTCATCAGCTTGCGGGTACTTACGATTCATGATCAGCGCCGCATTCGAAGATTGCGAAGTCATGTTGTTGTCGAGCTCGTCCATACCAGCGAAGGCCTCCACCTCTTGATCATGGTACCGAGACCCTGAATACCGAATGAGAGACGACAGTCCGTCCAAATCATAGATCTTTTAACTCACACAGGCTTTCGCGGCTGCAATATCAGCAGAAGGATCAACAACCCATTGGCTCGAGAGAAAGTCTGAAGAGGAACTCAAGGAGCTTGGTGGCAGGGTGGGAGAGTCATCGTCAGCTGCATCATTATTGAGGAGTACCTGTGGCTGGTCATGTTCTTCAGTAGCCTGTCTTGTAGGTATCGCGCAGAACCCTGCATGTCTGAATTCGGGATCAAGGGCCGCGATCACTGTTATACGATGAGCGTGTGCGGATGTGGCATTGGAGATTGCCATCGAAAAGTGCATTGTCCAAGGATAACTTACCGTAAAGGATATTCGCATGCAAACTTTCGAGCTTCCGAGTAACAAGCCATAGAGCTTCGAGTTGTATCTCAAGTGGTGCTCAATCGAAGCTTGTCCCAGAATGAAAACACCTTGACGCGGAGCCCACAAATTCAGAACGCTCATGTGATCTTCGGCTCATACTGTCCCGCTTTCGATCCATGCCTTGGTTGTCGCTTGCCCCTGCAACGTTGTTGTCGGAAGGTAGGAGGCGTTTGAAAAGGCAGAGGCAGGCATCTACACGATCTGCGATCGTGGCTTTGCCTATGCTCGCCATGGTAGAACAGCAAATTCAGGAAGAAGTGCAACTATCGATGCAAAGGCGAGAATGTACTCTTGTACGTGGATGGAGTTTATTTGAGATTGCATAAGACTGCAGGTGAAAAGTGAAGAATCTATTTCAAGTCGCTGGGGGACACGTATTATATAGGTCGCCGCTCGAGGGGCTGAAACAATACCAGAACTGGGAAGGGGGAATCCTCGATGCCGATGTTTCCAATGTTTCCATTTCATTCTAAGCGCCAATCCTCCCAATGCTTGTCAGGGTGGCTCCAGATTCGAGATCTTTGGCATTGGTAGCCATTGTACCTTCACCAGGTGCAGATAAACTCGACATCCAGGCACCCCTTCATACCAAACTTCGTGATGGGCCTACGTCCTTGCGGTTCCGGTGAAACAAAGGCTTGGAATATGGACGTTTGCGAGACCTTAGCACTTGAGTAGGCGGGATACCGACACAGTAGTCTAGATAACGTCGACCTACGAAGACTCATCTGTACCAGAGTAAGACTTTTTGTAGAGTAGATCATGTCTTGCAGACAGGGAGGATGAATATTGCGGGCCTTTGTTGAGTGCTGTACAGTTTGCTGTACATTTAATTTAGAGCACAGCTTGCAAAGCAAGGTGCAAATTGGAAAGGCCAGCCTGGCACAAGGTACCGAATAACTGATGGAGCCAGAAAAGATAGCAGGCTTTTAACTGCCAAGAAATCCCACTGGTTTTGCATACGCTAAAAATCAGTCATTCTCCCCTTGCATGAACACAGGCAACATATCTCTCTTGACACTTGATCACCTCGTCTTGACTCTCCACATGTCAGTCTTGACAACGAATTCCAAATCATGGCGCAGGAGCCGCCTTTGGATGAGATACAATGGCGATCTCCCAAGGCTCAGGAAATGGGCGGCATCCACACTAACACCGGTAAGTCACTGTAGAGTCGCCGCTTCCCAAGCTCCGTCAGCTCACTGGATGTCTCTGACAGTACTTCCCTACTTCGCCGAATCGCCGTTCTTCGATGCCACTTCCAACAACGCCATCCTGACTACGCAAGCGCTCTACAACCCCAACATGTTCTACATTATCCAGACTCGCGAAGCTTTTGAGGGCAGGTTGCGAACGATGCAAGGGCTGGAATTCATGGTCACCCATGACCCGTCTGAGAACGATTCCAAGCAAGACCATAGCGGGGTCTGGGTTATACGGAAGCAGAATAGGCGTAAGAGACAGGGCGCGCCGGACGAGGTCACGGGAATCAGCTCGTACTATGTGGTGGGGGAGAATGTTTACCTGGCGCCTTCGGTGGGGAATATCCTAGGTAGTAGGCTGGTATGTGCCATCGTACTGCTATTCATCGGCCGCGCTTACCTCGATGCGCCAGCTCTCGACAGTCGCCTCCCTCACCAAGCTACTCTCCACAGCGTCTTCCCTTCCCAGCTTCACCCCTTCGCTTGGCCATACATACCTCCCTCCAGTATCAAAAATTCCTACACCCGGTTCAAGCTTCCAGGCAACCCAGGCGAGCAAAGAGGGCACACCGATGCCGGCAGGAGGCACACCCTTGCCGGCAACGCAAGAGACTACTACCAGCGCGAAAACTTCTAAAGTTACTTCGGACATGGGCCTCCAAGGCGTCCACATGCTAGCGTACTCCTACGATCTATCTGACCGCTACGCAAACGAGTACATGGACGAGAATCCTATCGTGGGCGAGCCGGGGTCATTCAAGCTGTCGAAATCGCACAACACTTCTTTGACAACGTCTATGAATACGTCAAAAACCTCCAGCCAAGCCCAAGAAGTGTCGAAACCCTCAAGCCAATCACTTGAGGTGGCAACTCCGGCGAAGAGTGCAGCACCGACGCCGCAGCTGAAGACGGAGGACTTGCCAGCACCGCTCAGAAAATCAACAAAGAGCAGCGAGAAGAGTCCAACCACACCAGGAACCAAGGAGAAAAAGTCGAGGCGAAAGAGCAAAGCTGCCGGCGACAAAGGGGCAACAACGCCGAAAGCCACGACCCCTAAGCCTACTACGCCAGGATGATCACCACAGGCCTCGGAATCTAAACTTCGTTTTCTGGGATGCCTAGATACAAAAAAACTGGGTCCTCTGCGAAACAGGCAGCCGTCTGAAGATTGGCGCTCTGGCCAAATATAAAAAATGACACAGCAGAATACGGCCCTAGATTCCAGAGACCAGCGCTGTTGTCTACAACATCCCATCTATACTGCCGTTTGCATCTTCGATGCCATGGCCGTCATCGATATCAACCGCACAGCTGCAGTCCACGAAATCCTCCAGCTCCTCGCTCACAGTTTTCAACTTCTCTTTCACACTGGCTACACCTTCATGGCCAACGATATGTCTCGCGGGCGGATTGTCATGTCCGCCGATCGCTGTGATGGCATTGATCGTCTCCGCAAGAAGCGAAGACTGCATCTCGGGCGGAAGCTTCGGGTAGAGGGTTTGGATTCGGTCGCCTGCCAAAGAGGCAGGCTCATAGTTTCCATTCTGCTGGACAAGATCAAGACGATCTAACAGACCTCCAATTATACCCCTGAACAAAGGCGCCGGGTTGTTGTCCGGTGAATACTGGGGCATCGAGGGCGCAGATATGATCTTGTTGGTTAGGACACCAATTTCCATCGTAGGTTGGACGATAGTCATCTTGATATTGAAGGGAGCAATCTCATACGCGAGGCTATCGCAGAAGCCTTCAAGTGCCCACCCGGCAGCGCAATACATCCCTAAACCCGGAGTTCCCAGATGCCCGGCTGGACATTGTGTTAGTGCAGGCCTCACAAGCTGGGATATATGGACTGACTTATACCTGTCAATATCATTACATGTCCACTATTCCTTCTCCGCATCGTCGGTAATGCTGCCTTGATGCAATTGACAGGACCGAAGAAGTTGCTTTCGAATTGTTCCCGTACTAAAGTTTGTGTCCGTGGAGAGGCCGCGAGCTCTTCAACCGTGCCGACCAGCGCTGTAATAACATATCAGCACTCACTTACCCCACTCAAGCAATCAGTGTAGAGGCCAACCTTCGCTCGCGCAACATAGCAGAATATCCAACTTGCCAAATACCTCCACCGCCTCAGCAACAGCAGCTTGGCACAGTCCCATCACACTGTTCCCCCAGAATCAGCCCCTCCCTCTAACCCCCAAGCAGCCAGCCAAACAATCAAGCAACAAGGGGCCCTCACACCTCCCATCCAACTCCACCCCCTTACACCTCTCTTTCCATCCTTCCTCCTCACACTCCCGCCAGAATTCCCGGAACTCCTCTCCTCGCTGCGCATCCCCCTCTTCCTCCCCTCCGTCACCGTGCCCTTCTGCAAGGTGTCGCGGATTCAGGCCTGCGATCACGTTGTCGCCGTGGGAGAGCACTTGACGCGCGATGGCGATGCCGATGGGGGAGGTGCAGGCGGTGATGAGCCAGTTGCGGGGAGCGGGGTGAGGGGGGAAGGTGGGGTTTGGCGGGTGAGTGGTCGCGGGGGCGGGGGCAGGCGTCATTGTTAGAGGTGTTGGGGAAGCATGGTCGGTTGGATCTATAGGAGGATTTGAGGAGGAATGAGGCAGTGGTCGTAGGGAAGAATGCTTGTTGGAAAAGTACTTTAGCAAGAGAAGTGGGGGTGGAAGGTCAGAGCGGAGGCTTAGCGTCAAGCGCTTGCCGCAAGAGGCGCGCTGTTTGCATCCGTGCATCCCACACCGGAAGGCTCATCTTTGATTTCTTTCCATCTTTGTTCCCCTTGAGACGTTCTACTGCTACCTTTCGGGTGATGATTGAACTCTATGCATCCTTCAAACCTATTTTGATAACGGAAAGTACTCCGAAGATGGACCTGATTGTTCTGTTTCTTCGTCAAGTCGAACTCTGAAAGTCTTCCCTAATCTACCCGCGGATGTTCTAGAAGTGCGTAGCTGGAGTCATTGACTACCCTGCCCGATTTTCTTGGATCTATTCTTGTATCTTTGGGTCAGATACCTTAGACATGGTTTCGTCGACAGCATGCCGCGGAGCGCACTCATTGATCTCCGTTTGCTGCAGGCGTATTGATTGTCGTGTGTCTCTGGCATTGCCGTGTTTGCTGCTCTTTGCAACGATGTTTTGATCACTCATGCTCCGATCATGAAAAGTGCACTTCTCGTATTTGTAATTCCAATCTCGTTCAACCCCCGTGCCTTCTACTTTTATTGCAGGAGCTGGAGTTTCATCTTTGCACCCAAACTTTTTTCTTGTCATCTATTAGGAGTTTCAAGAAAATCCCCATGCCATGGCGACTTATGGGATCTCACAAGTTCTCCAACAGGACATTCTACAAATCGCGAATATGAGCTCGAGATTCACAACAGCAGATCCGCTAACAAACGTCATGTTAAGAGATCCACGCGGTGTATTTATGAGCCCCATAGAATCGCGCAGAGATGTGGCACTGCACAACTATAACAAGGGACTGATGGGTTCCATCGGACCCATCACAAATTCCTTTCTTTTGAAGTCATACAGTCACTGTGCGCCACAGCTCATTGAGGCTTCCGCCTGGATCCAACAATTTCATCCTAATCAATACTGGCACATTCCATGGAAAGACGAGCCGGGAACATTTGATATACCTCCCGACTGCGTGAATGCAAATCTTTACTACTATATTGAGAATGCTCTGCATACGAACCGGAAAACCTACATGCAGGGCAAAGAGCACTATTGTGTGTCCCTCATGTCTCTCATATACAAAACGTGATAAATGCTGATGCGACACTGAAGACATACGACAGCTCGATTTCAGAGTCTTCGAACTGCAAACACCAGGCAAAGAGGCGGCCAAATACCTGCTGGCGCGTATCAGCAAGATCCACCCGCAAGTGGACAAATACGCGCACTTCACTCTCGCACATCAAGACCTGCTCCAAGGCTTGGGATGGGAATACCTCGGCCACGTTGCTTTCAATCCGGAGTTCGCTCATGATGGCAGCCTCTTGACAGTTCCTCAAAGTACGAGAAGCTGGGTACTGAGAGGCGTGCCGCATTCGAACAAAGCGGCTGCGCCAGCGGTAAGCAATTCAGACCTGCCGCCGAAGCCAGACTTTGCAGGATTGGGTGATTCATATTTTGGGCGCTCTTTTTGTTGAGCAGAGAGTATTAACAAGCGCACAAAGTGCTATGGGTAGACGCTGGCATTCGAAAATAGCTGTATATAGTGTTCCTAGCTTTCTTCAAACGTTAGCAAAACAATTAGACATACGAATAACGTTATAGCGTCATAGTGCATGGGAATGAAACGACTTGAAGATTCGAGAAATTTTTACAAAGCCCCCAGAGAGAAGTATTCCAAGAAAGCAAAATCTCCATCGCCAATCACTGATACCTTTACAGTCAAATCCAAATTATCCAGCAGCATTGAGATCATGATCTAACCCATTTTTGACAAAATTGGTATAACATATACTTTATTGGGGTGGGAGCAATTGCTGATGCCAAGATTTCGCGCTTTTCTGAATGCGCTAAATTCTCTACCACCACCACTCCTCATCCTTTCACATCCTCTCGTTGCCAATATAATTCAAGTGTGAGCACCATGCATGATATTGGAAGACAGACTGATGACACCTCTATAGTCCGCTGGCCGGACAAGCTTTTCTCCCAATCGCGCTTATCAAGCCAGACGCCCCCCAACCTCATCTACTCAGTATGTAAAGTACCAAGTATACGAATCTTTTGTAGAATCTACTATACGACAGAATCGATGACTTTTCTTCATTGCTGTATATGATCGTCGCATCTTTCATTTTAGAAAATTTGAGAGGAAATGCCCCACGCCACCACCCACCGCGTCCTCTTCATCGACGCCTATGATTCTTTCACTAATAACATCATCGCTCTCCTCGAAACGAATCTCCGCGTCGAAGTCACAACTATCAAAATCGATGAACCTATCCGGAACTTGGCAGAGTTCCTAAGACCGTTCTCCGCAGTCGTCGCGGGACCTGGTCCCGGCGACCCGAGGAATTCTAAGGACGTAGGGTGGGTTCAAGAGCTGTGGAAGCTTGGAAACCAGGATTTATTGCCGGTCCTGGGAATCTGTCTTGGGTTTCAGAGTCTCGTGCTGGCTTTTGGGGGAACGATTGATAGGTTAGGGGAGCCGAGACATGGGATTGTGAGGAGGGTTAGGGGAAATGGGGAAAATATCTTTCAGGGGGTGGAGGAGGTAGAAACGGTTCAGTATCATTCCCTTTACGCTTCTCTTGGACCGGAGGGCAAGCATGAATGGACAAGGTCCTACGAAGCAAGAAGTTCATTACTCAAATGCTCGGATCTCCGACCTTTGGCTTGGGACTACGAAATGGACAATGCCGGAGACCGCACAGAGGACGCCATGTCTTCCAATCCGCCGCGAGTCTTGATGGCTGTAGAGCACAAGTCAAAGCCGTTCTTTGGGATACAGTTCCACGCAGAATCTATTTGCTCGAATAACAATGCCCGAAAGGTCATTGAAGCATGGTGGGAAATTGCAAAGAGATGGAGAAGGCCACGCCGAGACATTGGAACTTTGCCGAGTTCACCCCGTTCGTGTTACGCAGACCTTGGAATCGTTCAGATTGACTCGAAGGACGAGAATTCGCTATCAAAATATCGAAGAGTAATTGATGACTCGAAGATTCCTTCGAATTCAATCAGTGACGTCCGCAATGGAGCAAAGCACGGCCCAAATCTCCTGGAAGACCTGAAGGGATCCAACGGTGCCTATCCATCGCAAGGTCACCGTCAAAAAAGCAAAGTCCGGGTTGAAACACGAATTATAGATGTGGGGAAAGCCACTGTACCCTCGATTTGTGAGACTCTCGGCTTGACTGACGGAGAAGCGATTATCCTGGACTCCGAAATGCACCAAAGGCATGATGTGGGAGAGCACAGCATCATCGGCATCATATCCACAGACTCCATGCATTTCGATTATAATGTTGGCACGAATGAGGTCCGCCGAGTCCACAATCAATCGAGCGACACAATCGATCTTCGACGCTGTGGAGGGAGTATCTTCTCATACTTGAAAACTTTCATGGCTCAGTACAAGGTCGAAAGTTCCAACACAGGGGTTCCCTTTTGGGGCGGTCTCATGGGATTTATCAGCTATGAAGCATGTCTTGAGACCATTGGCATCACCCACTCGCAACGCCGCACCGAAAACGACTTCCAAAGACCGGATTTAAGTTTCAAGTTCGTCGAACGAAGTATTGTAATTGATCATTTCCACCAAAAGATCCATGTCCAAACAATCAAGCCCGATGATCAAGACTGGCTTGATAAGACTACCTTGCGATTAAACAGCACAAGACCTAAAACCCCATTATTTTCGCACCCAGATCCTCTCTGTTTCAATGCTCAAATGTCACTCCCCGACGCCGCCTCCTACCAGTCCAAAGTCCGAGCCTGCCAATCCGCAATCCGAGCCGGCGACTCCTATGAGCTCTGCCTGACAAACCAAGCCACCATCCATCCCCAGAACCGTCTTCCAACCTGGCCACTCTACCTCCGCCTTCGCCAACTCAACCCAGCTCCCTTCTCCGCCTACGTGCGTCTCGGAAAATTGACCCTTCTGTCCAGCTCACCCGAGCGATTCTTGCGGTGGTCGCGACCAACAGAGTCGTCAGGTTCCAAGACCAATGACGCATTTGACCGCAAAGAGAAGACCATCAGTTGTCAATTCCGCCCCATCAAGGGCACAGTGAAGCGCCAACCTGACCCCAACACTCCACCACTTACCCTCGCGGAAGCAACAGCTCAGCTCGCAACACCCAAAGAGCGCGCGGAGAATCTGATGATTGTGGATTTGATACGGCACGATCTCCACGGCGTAGTGGGGTCGGGAAGGGTCAGTGTGCCGAAGTTGATGGCGGTGGAGGAGTACGCTACGCTCTTCCAACTCGTCAGCGTTGTCGAGGGAAGTCTCATCGTTGAAGACGGCGATGACAGAGACACCAGCAACGGAAACGACGGAACTGACAGTCTCCGCACCGACAACACCCCCAATCACCCCAGCATGGGAAAGACCACGCAGAGCACCCACGCAGCCAAAACAGGCATCGACATCCTCGCCGCCTCCCTCCCACCCGGCAGCATGACCGGCGCCCCGAAACTGCGCTCCTGCCAGATCCTCCGCTCCCTCGAGAACCGCCCTCGCGGTGTATACTCCGGCGTACTCGGCTACATGGACGTAGGCGGCGGTGGCGATTTCTCCGTCGTCATCCGCAGCGCCGTGCGATGGGATCACGATGCCCGTCCCAAGCGCGAAGCGAGTGGAGAAAACGGCGTCGTTGGAAATGACAATGTTACAGATGGAGACGGAGGGAACGAAGCTGAGGGCGACGAATGGACGATCGGGGCAGGGGGCGCGGTGACGAGTCTCAGCTCCGAGGAGGGGGAGTGGGAGGAGATGCTCGCGAAGCTGAGGAGTACATTGCGGCTTTTCGAAGGAGATGGATGTGGTGGAGAGGGAGGGGGTAAGTAGAGTAGGTCTGCTGAGAAGTGTGCACAGGGCTGTTTCTGTTATTCCCTTGAATTTGGGACGAGAGGATCAACCATTAGGCGTATAAGGGTGTAAAATGTCATTTTGGAAAGCGCCAACCCTTCAACAACTGGGCACGAGGGGATGAGATCGGAAAACTTGGGCATTTAACATGTGAGATAAATACCAATGGGGGATTTTTGTTTTCGGAGGCCGGGAGTTTCAACATAAAGGTTGCGTGCGATCGATCGATTCAGGGTGTTCAGCCTTCAACATACTGTAAAGGATACTAAGGAAGACATGACAATCGGAGGCCGTGTTTGTAAAGAGGTGTGGATAGAGAATATAACAAACCTCATACTGAACGAACGTTGTCTGTCAATTGCCGCCTCAATACGGATCTTCGAATCAAGGATGGACGATGCTAATAACTCAAGTGTCAAGCCTCCTTCGTGCTTTAGATAATGGATAGATCCCGAAGCGATGCGCATTTTTGCCTGTTCAGAAGCCTGATATAATAGATATAAGCCAGCAGATCAAATGCATACCCATCCCGTTCATAGCTCCTCATATCATGAAAATACGTCAATCCAAGGGTTATAACATGTAAGCCACTCGACCTCCCAATCACCGTTCGTCATGTCCCAGCTCATACGGACCTTGAGAGAACGGTGGGTTCATCGAAGCTCCCATCATGCCCTGTTGCTCACTGCCCACCGGCTTGCGCAACGGTGCCTGCTGCACCCCACTGCTCATCCTGCCGTCAATCTCCGCAGCGCTCGGACTTCCACCCGGCATCATCTGGTGTTCAATTCCATGCCCGCCGGCTGGTACGCCCGGGTTTCCCATCGTCCCGTCCACCTCTGTTGGCGCACCATGTGTCACGGCAGTTGGGACGCTCGGATTCCCCATTGTTCCATCCACTTCTGTAACCGTAGGGGAGAGAGGTGGTTTATAATAGCTTTGCCTTTGCTCTGGCTCACTTGGCCGCGGGGAAAAAGGGCTAGTAGTTGCTAGGCTAAAGCGTGGGTCGTTTGCGCCGGTGGACTGGGGCGAGACGGCTGAAGCTGGTGGAGGAAAGTACGGCTGGGCTTGTTGATGGGGACCAGGGTATTGTGTATATTGCTGTTCGTGCTGGGGGACGGATTGGTAGCCGTCAAAAACTTTTGGTGGTGGTGGTTGTTGTGCTTGCTGTTGCATGGGAGGTGGGAAGTATGTAGGAGGAGTTGAAGCGGCGGCGATCCTTTTACGCCGGCGGACGCGGATGCAGCAGAATACGACAAGGCCGATTATCAATGCACCAATGATGGCGACACCAGCTGCGATGCCGTCGATTGCGCCTTGAGCGAGACCGCTGTGAGAGCCCGGATTTGAACCTGAGCTTGATCCCGAGTATGAGGCTGAAGTTGATTGTGAGGCTAAGCCTGTGTCGCTGTTTGTAGGGGTGGCTGCGAAGGAGTCGAGATAGGCAGAGGCGGTGAAGCCGAAGGGGTTTGTTGTGGCATCGGATGCAAGGGTGCTACCAATGGCGGTTATGTAGAAGTCGTTCAAGAACTCGACGTCCTGAATGGGCATCGATGTTACCATGCAGTCGAAGAGGGTGGTATCGCCAGGGAATGCGTAGGTGCCGCAGAAAGGTTCGAGTGCATCGCTGGAGAAAGTATCCATCAGCAAAGCTAGAAGAAGAAGCGTAGGAGATTCGTTGCACACCATTTTCTTATCGCCGGGTCTAGCTGGCACGGTTGGTCGCATTCATATTGATAATTGACACAGGTGGTGTAGAGCGCTGAGCAAATTCCCGTGGTAGCTGTACAGCAGCCAATTGCTTCGCCCGAGTTGACGCAAGTCAAGCCAATGCTGCAGGAGAGAGGATCATCTGCGCGACAAGTTAGGCGGTGACATCAAGCCGGTGACGACGCATCTACTCACCATAGATGCCATTGACGAAACCGCACCAATTCGCGGGCGGGGGATATTGCACATTCTCTCTTTTTAGGAGCTCTTGCGGTATCCCATTTGAGCCGGGAGCTTCAGTCGGTCGCGGCGACACCCCGGCTATAGCCATCAGGCCAACAGGTGTAGGCATCGGTCCTATCCATGGCATAGCGATAGCGATCCGCCAGAGCAGCAACGCGTAAAGGATTACTCTGTTCGCAGCCATTGTCGCGGGAGCTCACAATTTCACCAAGATGCCCGATGATGACTGTTGGGCATAGAGTGTAGGAGGGAAGGGCGAGGAGAGGAAGGTGTAGAGCCCCTCCATGGCTCCTCGACGGCAGCGGCTCCAGGAGTCCAGCCTCGTCTGGCCATGCGTGCGAGGGTGGACTAGCAACGAGGTTAGGAAGCTGAATTGGGCAATTTTGAGCGATTCTAAATCTTTGACTTGCATGAGTGTGCCTAGCAGACCAATCATGGCCCCCAATGCTCGATCTAGCCGCAGTAGAGCGGGTGAATTAGCAGGATAGTGTCTGGTGTGCCGAACGGGTTGGAGCTGTAGCCTTGGAGACCATGGTACGACTCAGGATCTGGTTCTGCATCGGTAGTAACGTTCTGAGCTCCAGCTTCAGCTCACCAATGTCATATCTATCGCAATGTGGGCGAGGAGAAGGGAGAAGAGCGATGGTGGGAGTCGAGGGAGTCGAGTGAACTTGTGGGTGACAGAATGGCAGAACCCTGCGTCGATCTTTCTCGTCTACTGTTACTACTTTGGGTTAGCGCGATATCTCCTCTAATGAAAATTGTTCCCGTGCAATAACGATCTGAGTCCCGCTACAACCTTCGCAGAACCTTCAGATATTCTGTTCGAGTCACTGCTCTTTAAAACACTCGGCTAGATCCATGAAGTACAGAGGGAGCCCCAATGTCCGGGAAGCAGACCTGCACCATCGTACCCAATAAGAATGTCGCAGTGAGTTCGAGATCTTTGCAGCAATAGAGTGAGGAAGAAGACTCGGCCGCGCGAGATCTCAACATGCAGGTCAAGACCTTAGGGCGTAACAAGCACCTCGATAATGGCCCATCAGTGTCACTTTGCGTGGGGATTTTGCAGTGTTGGACTACGGTGACCAGTCCCACGCCCTTCACAGTGTCTACAAATGGGTAGGCCGTCCCACGGTACCGCCCCGGGCTCTCTCGTACAGGTAACGCCATTGACTTGGGACTTGATGCGAGAATTCTTACGACTGATTGCAGCTCGATCAGGCGGGACCTTGTGATTCGGTGTTAAGAAGAGAACATCAATATTTGGAGATAAACATGATACCCCTTTTTTTTGCCAAACATGTTACAATCATACGTCAACCACGCAAGTTGAATTTGCCCTTGCTTGTTTCCCTTGCCGTGCATGACCTTCCGAAATGGCCTGTCTTGTACGCTGTCTGAGCGGGCTATCCGTTCCCCGGGTGACCTCTCGAAAAGGAGCTAACGGCACTCCACGGGTCTTCCTGAGGGTTTCCCTCCAACCACCTTGACATCTTGTCATAGATTTCGACGGAATTGTAGTGCTTGTTCTTTCTAGTGCCAGAGTCTGAGCGATTGGTCGGCGAGTCTTGCTTCAATCTTTCATGGTCCAAGTTAGCGTCTCCTGTATGACGTTGGACGGAAGCACTTTGAGGTTACTCACGAAGCGGTCTCATGCTGGCCCTCCCTTGCTTGAGTGTCGTCCCCTGGTCCCCTAGCTACTTTGCTCTTCTCTTTGCCGTGGCCTGTGACATGTTCAGCAGTGTCATACGGCCGGGCCAGTCTCATGTCTACTTGACGGGATGTCTTTACCCGAGTTGCCCATGTTTGCAAGAATTGTCAGTGGGACAAGTCCGAAGTCTTGAGTGAATGATGGTGTCTCGTGCAGGACTTTGTGAGAGGTATATTCTAGCAAACCCCAAGGATGTGGGTTTCTTTGGCTAGATGGAACGGATTGAGGAGGAATCGGTCAGGACCACAGGCCATAAGGGCCAGAAAGAGTGAATTGACACGTCTGGCGAGTGTCCATGAGAGTGTTTGCCTTGTTCGCAGGGATCAGAAAGGGGTGAATCCGACGTAATGAGGCCCCTCAAAAGTGCAAGAGGATGTTAGGAAAGATCACTGTATCAGCTGCAACGCATCGTGCGTAAGATCTCACACATTCTAGAGCAGGAGTCATCGCCTCGGGCTTTGGATCACAGTGGAATCCTTGCAACCAATTGAGTGGTACCACGCGTTTATTTCAGTACTATGGCTGGTTGCGTCTGCCATTGAAAGCCTGATGTGTAATCATCTGTCTCTCGAGATACTGAGACTTTGGTCTGAAGGATATCAAAATCCTATGATGTAGGGATCAAGGGTTCCTAGGCACAAAAATATCATTGGTCAAATCCTACTGCACTTGTGAGGATTCGGTCGGTTTAAGGTAACGCAGAATGGTGCCCTACGTAGTGCTCGTAAATAGTGAGGCTATACATAAAATAACGTATATATAAGTAGATATATAGATAGATAATTAGATATATCTAATACTAGAATAGCTAAGACCTTTTTAGATATATAAATAATTTAAAAAAAGGCTTTTTAGCGCTAGAAAACTCTTATATCTAAGCGATATATTCTAGAGTAAAATAAAATTATATATAGATATAGATAAGTAAAAGAAAAATAATATAGCTTTAAAGAAGATAAAATTAAATAAAGAGCTATTAATAGATATAAAATAGATGGCTATATAGCTCATATTAGATATCTATTCTTAATTTCTTATCGAGATATTAATAGAGGTATTAATAAGAGTATTAATAGCGAATAACTAATTAAATAGCTATTAACGCTATAATCTTATAATGAATCTACTAATTTATAATCTTAATTCTTATTATTACGATTAGTATTCGTAAATAGTAAGATTATATAAAAAATAATATATATATAAGTAAATATATAAATAGATAATTAAGTATATTTAATATTAAGATAATTAAAATCTTTTTAAATATATAAATAATTTAAAAAAAGATCTCTTAGCGCTAGAAAACTTT